CTTTACCAATGTCATAGTGTGTCTATATAAGCACATGAATTGTTATTGTACACAATTAGTTTGTGACCAGCTTTCTATTTGAATAAAGCACATAGTGAGGTCTGAATAACTTTTATTTGTGTGAAGTTCAATTAGTCAGAGTTATAAAACTAGTTCAACATTACTGGTGCTTCTACGAACCCCAGACTGCTGGAAGCACAACGTAATTGAGAAACGGGACGTAACGAGCGCTGCCGAGGGCATCGCGGGGTATGAATGAAGTGACACGCGTGATTGTCAGCCGTTCAGTTGTTTAGCGTGCGCAAATCATTGTTTTCCGTTTTTCACGTATTTAGTTGAAGTGATTTGTAATAATTGAAAATGGATAAATTCCAAAAAGGACCAACAGAACCATCAACGAAAAAAAATTGTCTTTGTGATGACAATTATTTGAAATTCGGGTTTACTGTGATAAACCGCAGTGCGTTATTTGCTTTGAAACTTTATCGAAAGAAAGCATGAAGCCATCGAAGTTAGCACGCCACCTCAACACAAAACATCCAAATGAAAAATATAAACCCATGGAATTTTTTGAGAGAAAATTAAAAGTTCTTCAACATCAAAAAACTGCTATAGTACAAATGCCCTACCTAAATGAAAAAGCGTTGCTTGCTAGTTATCGAGTAGCTTTTCGTGTGGCTAAAACAGAAAAACTCCACACAATTGCCGAAAGTTTGATTTTACCGGTGGCTTTAGATAAAGCCGAAATTATGTTTGGCAAACAAGAAGTAGAAAAGTTCAAAAGTATACCTCTCTCAGACAATACCATTTAACGCAGGATAAGCAATATGGCGACTGATGTTGGAGACCAAGTCATAGAAAAAATAAAAGAAAGTACTTTTGTGTCCTTCCAATTTGATGAATCTACGGATATTGCGGGTTGTGCGCAGTTTGTCGCTTTTCTGCGTTTTGGATCCAATGAAAAATTAATGGAAGAAATACTATTTTCCCTCAAACACTACAGGTCAGTGCTTGCATAACATGTTCCTTGAAGCTACGCAAGATATGAATATCAATTGGGTCAAAACCTTGCCACAGGAATACAGTCAAGTTCTAAATATTATTATAAAAATTGTAAATTCAATTGAAAGAAAAGCGTTGCAGATACGATTGTTTCGGAATATTTGTGAAGACATGGGGGTATTCTACCAAAATTTACTTTACCATACAGAGGTTAGGTGGTTGTAGTATTGACCATCAGCGTTATGGAAGTTCGAGCTGAACTTTTAATATATTTACAGCAGACCAAGTCGGAATACTCTGAATTTATTTGTGACTCGGATTTTCTTTTGAAATTAGCTTTTCTTTCTGACGTATTTGACCATACAAATAGCTTAAATAAAAGTTTTCAAGGGCGAGATGAAAATGTCATCACTGCAAAAGACTAAATACATGGCTTTACAAAGAAAATTGACACAGTCTTATATTGAAGAATTCGGATGTGAGATAAACATCAAGGAGTATATCCTGGTATGAAAACGGTGTTGGATAATTTGAAAGAAGAATTATGTCATTACTTTTCTGTGCAATCGGAAAACCTTGAGCAAAGGTGGATCTTGAATCCATTTTTGACTGCAGCTATAAATTAAGTGAATTCAACATCCCTTCTGCCGAAGGGATGTTACACTTAAAATTCAAGTCTGCCAATTTGGATAGGTTTTGGTTGAAAGGAAAAACAGAATACCCGGAGGTGTTTGATTCCATTTGCCACCTCTTATTTGTGCGAGTTGATATTTTCATCAATGGCCAAAATAAAAAGCAAGCAAAGAAATCGCATAAATTTAGAAAATGACCTAATTCTCAATGTAGCAAACACGGAACCACGATGGGAAAAATTGATTATTCGAAAACAAGCGCAACCTTCGCATTAGGAGTGACAAGTAGACGTAGGCTTTAGTTTTTTGTTAATTTGTTTGTATTAATATGTACACATTTTTACCAGTATATGCTTTTTGTTAACATATTCTTAATAAATCTATCTTTATATGATTTATTAATTTTTACTGAGGAATTTTTTTTATCCTTGCGCGACCCCCCTACAGAAGCACACGTTGAAAAACGGTGCAATAGGCCAATCAATAGTAGACTTTTTCGTAAAAAAATATTAGTAGAAAACCGACTGTGCCATATGAAAAACATTCAGTAGTTCTGTTACGTTTTTGAATAGCAACTGTCACTTAATAATTTCTTAATACTTATCTATGTGCCTTTGAAAGTAGTTGACAATGTATCAGTACGAGTACAATTTTTCGAGCCTTCCATTGTCTAGAAAACAAAGAAAATTTTCTGCATCTGTCAAGTGAATTTACACACTTGATTAAGACAGTATATGTTACTGTTGAAACGTCGTGACTCAAACACATGAAGATAATTAATTTTCTTTGTTTTCTAGATAGGTAATCCAGAATAAGTCTACTTGCACTTACCTATGTATTATTTATGTCGATACATGGTTGTTAACCAATTTATTTAATATTTGACTGAATAAATATCACATGTCATACAATTGAAAGAAATTAATTTTTACAAACATATACCATGGGCAGTAATGATGGATCATTCACTTCTCAACTATAATACCTTGGGTTCAAATCCCAGCAAGGTCACAGGTTCCCTGCGTTGCAACCTACGTTAAAAGGTATGCTTGTAAAAGCCTCTCAAACACAAAGGAAAAAAGGTATTTGGAACACAAATATATTTAAAACATTATTACAAATGATAATAATAGCGAATAAAACAAATCTCTTATTTACTATCCTAAACAAGGGAGACAGAAGATTTGACTTGGTTCCCTTGTTCAGTAGCATTAAATTGGAGGTACAGTATAGATTATTTATTCGTTTAAGGTAAGCCATAAAAATCAAACATAAATCATGTCACTAGGAAACATCATACATAATTTGTGGCTTGTTACATGCAAGTTTTTTTTGTTTCCTTATAGTATGTGTGTTCCAGTCCTTCGCCAAAAGGTCTAGTTCACCCCAAATAATAGAACCAAAACAGTATCTGAGACTTACCACAATTAGCTGATCACTATCATCATAATTCATACTGTTTGAGATCTTTGAAAAAACTTATCCAAGAACTCATACCCTGTTATCGCATTTGTGACCAGAAACATTCAAGTTTGTTGGAGATTCTCTTTCCTTCAATATGACTCTTGAATGCTGCTAAATTATCATTGTGATAATGCCTTAAATAACTCTGCAAAGATCCAACTATGATATTTTCTGTTCCTTCATCTGTTCTCAATAATGTAAGCACAACTTACAATTGTCTAATTGTTTCTAAGTAATATATGACGCTATTACCATATAATATATTGCCATATAAAATTGGGTCCTGGAACTATGTATTTACGTCGCTTTAGCCTCCTACGTGACCTTACCTCAACACCTTCCGGATCAGCTATCCTTAGTATTTCCAAAACAGTATTCCTTTTCACTTGGATACCATATACCAGTCTCAACCTCCTCCATAACGACTTGTATCCTAGGCAGGTTCCACTACCATCTTCAATTTCTTCTAACACCCCAAAAACCACATCCTCTATGGATGATTCTTCAACATTTTTTCGTTTCAGATTCAAATTTTTCAATATTCTTTGTAACTGTCTAACAGAAATGCATAAGTTATGGTGAAAGAACAAAAAAAACACGATTTCAGGCTGAGTGTAACCCTCTGTGAAATATTTTTTGATTAAATTGTTATGAAATCACCGCATTGCTAACAATCATTGATTCAAAATTAATTACTATTCTATTAACATATATAAATGGATAGAAAAAAGTAATAGAAAACCAGCCATTCATTATATTTCAAATTACGCATACCAATGTGACATAATATCTCTGTACGTTGCACAAGTGACGTAATATCTCTGTACGTTTCACAAGTGACGTCACATATTTGTACCGGTGTATCAGTAACATTGCATGTCGTGACCGGGCTTCCGTAGCTAACCGCTTTCTACTGTGACACTATCATGTACATAAACGTTCAAGTGTCAAAAGTACAATCGACCAGCAGGATTACATTATCTAAAGTTGACCAGTTAAATACTACATTTAACACCTCATTTATATGTCAACCTCGCAAAACGAACTTGAAAATTACCGATCGCGAAAGAATAGCACAAAGGCTGACTTTCGACCAAAAAAGGTCAAATGTCAGTCTTGCTGAAGTGCCCATCAGTAAGTTGAGGACCGCTCGGAGAGCGGGGGTGGATGGAGTGGGGTAATAGGTTCTCCTCGCTAACTAGCTGGGGGGGAAGCTTCTACTTCAGGGCACTCAACCCTTGAGGGGGCATGGTGGGGAACTTGAAAATTTTAAACCAAGGCAAAATGAAACATTCATCTTTCAGGCACATAAGTAGCTGTATAAATATTAAACTGTCATCTTGATCTCTTGTCCTCTGACAGCCGTGCCAATGTTTGTCCTCATTCAGATCATATATTCATACTTTGATATTTCTCAATATTTTTATTTTTGATTGGTGAACACTAAGTGAACACTTGAACAGATAAATAAATGAAAAACGCCCGATTTTTCAAAAAGTACTGTTTTTCTGTCCAGAAGTACCTATAATGTCGTATTTTGAATTCATGAAAATTACTGCTTATAGAACTAGAAATCCAAATCAAGTGGATTTTGCAATTTCTGTCTATATACCACATTCAGCGGTAAAGCGACTTTTAACTGTTGGTGGACGCAAGCAGTATATTCATTCTTGGTTCTCGGACATAACCTGAAACCTTGACAAAGTTATAGTGACGTACGTTTGTCTTTCGATTTCACATATGCCGGTTGTTGCATCAGCATACTGAAAAATTTTCAAATAAGTTGAAATGGTTTTAGATCTTGATCTTTTTCGTACCGATAAAGGAGGAAACTCTGACAAAATCAGGGAAAACCAAAAGAAGCGTTTTAAGGATGTAACATTAGTCGACAAAGTTGTGGATAAAGACACCACATGGAGACAGTTGAGACATAAGGCAGATAATTGGAACAAACTTAAAAATGTGTGTAGCAAAGCTATTGGTGAAAAGATGAAGAAAAAAGAACCTCAAGGAGATCCAGCAGATGATATTCCTGGAAATATTCCATCACAATTAGAGAATTTGACTTTGGAATTACTACAACCTCTGACAGTAAATCAAATAAAAAAGGTAAAATGAATATTATTTTTATATTTGTAAATATTATTTTGAAACTTTTCAGGTTCGTACTTTAATCGATGATGCTGTTGTCCAAAATGAACACGAACTGAGTAAAACTGAGAAAGAACGAAATGATGCTCTCAGAGAAGTGGGAAACCATTTACATGATTCAGTGCCAGTTGACGATGATGAAGACAATAACAAAGTTGAAAGAACTTTTGGAAATTGTGAAATTCGAAAAAAATATTCTCACGTTGACCTAATTCATATGATAGATGGTATGGATGGTGAAAGAGGAGCTGTGGTTTCTGGGGGAAGAGGATATTATTTAACTGGACCTGCAGTTTTTCTAGAACATGCTTTGATTCAATTATCTTTGAGAATATTGCATAAGAAAGGTTATAAGCCATTATACACGCCATTCTTCATGAGGAAAGAGGTAAATTAAGATAATTAAATTTTTTTATGGGTCATTGAACTTTGTGTATCAATATTTAGCTTGTTGAAATTAATCTCTGGTGAATGAGCACTCTCTACAATGTTTGGTTAGCTGTCTGGTTTTCAAAAATTAATAATATAATGGTAGTTTATTCAATACCAAAATAAATACAATTGATGATATTTTTACCAATTTTACAATTTCAATTGAAGTCACTATTGAAAAATGAACTCAGTTGTTTGAACTGGCACAAAACCCACTTACAGGACAGCTTATACAATAAACAGTGAACAAAGCTAATGATAGGAAAATGATGAAAACACTTTGAATTGACAAATATACTTGTAGTCAGGTAAAAAACAAAACTTTGTTTCTTTCTTAAACAGTCTGATGTGTACCGAAAATAAGTATTTTTTATTGCACAATTGAGTTGAATGACCTTGCTATGAAGTATACCTGTGAAAAATATATTATTATTATTATTATTACTCTTCACGAAACAATCTGATCGATATGAGACTCGTGCACTAATTGAAAACTGAAAAAAAAT